CTAGAGCGATCTTTCAGAAGTAAAGTTAAACCCATCATTCCTCCCTCACTCTAGGTTGCCTACTCATTTTACCAGGGTGGGGGAGCCAATTCCTTACAATGGCTCTTGAAACCCTCTAGGCTTGATCCCTCTCCCCCAGTTTTATTTTGCCCATGCAGCTTCAGTCACACTGTCCTTGTCCCAGAGTATGTCAGCTTTGGTCCTACTTCAGTCCCTGTGTACTGTGTGCTCCTTACGTTTCAAACGGCCTTCCAGATTAACTCCACAGGTTGCTCACTTCCTTTCTTCAAGTTTTTGCTCACTTGTCACCTTAGCAGTGACACCTTTCCTGACATTAAGTGATACCAACTCCATCTTCTCTTTAACCCACTTTTGCTCCAAGGAAGCTACATTTACTCAATTTGGCAGACATATTTCCTGACTAAAACGTTAAGCCAAGCCCTTCTTGTAAACTGGCGAATCTTCCAACCCCAAGAAAGCGCCAGGCCCCCAAATATCTGCGATGTGCTAGACATGCGGGGTGAGACATGGCACCATGGTACGGGTGGTCAGGAACGGTATCCCAAGAAGTGCCCTGTAAACTGACAAGTCAGAAAATCTGAGCACAAACATGCCATGCAGAAGAACTGCAGATGGCAAGCGCCACACGCGGGGATCTGCTTGTGCTGTAGAGAAAGGAGGCCGGGTGGCGGGGGACCGGGGAGCGCTGAGTGGGAAATGTGGGCTAAGGCGACATGGGGCACAGCAGGCAGTTGTCCTCGGCCCAGTAGGGCTTGCAAGAGCACTCGAACAGGGCCAAAGTCTCCGTTCCCTATACCCGACCAGGCTTCCAGTTCCCTCCCGTGACTGTCGCTCCGGATCCCAACTCCGGCTCACAAGCGAGGCCACGCAGTTGCACAAGGAGGGCCTGGCGTTCCACTCCGCGTCCCCGCCGCCCTCAATGAAGGCACGGTAGCCCGCCTGCGGAGCTTCACACCGGATTCCGACGCCCCCTGAGCCCACCTTTCTTGTCTCGTTTGGATTTAGGCATCGCGCCGAAACCACGTGCGGCGAAAGGCGGTGTGGCCCGTCAGGACCCCGACGGCGCGGGGGCTTCTGGGAGTTCCTCGGGTCTGCCCTCGCTTGTGCCTGACCCAATCTGCACTGTGAGCCGCGTCGGTCTGCAGGGCCACCGCCTGAGTTTTCTCCCGCGCCTGCGGGGCGACTTCCTGGAAGTCCTACGTCCTCCGAGTCCCGAATGTCACACTGACGGCCCCGCGCACGCGGCCCGAACTCTATGGTTCCGGGGAGGCGGAGCCTGCGGCGCGGTGCATGCCGGGCCGGCGGCGGGCGGAGCCTGGGTTCTCATCATGGCTGCGGCGCTGGCTTCCCGGTTCTGCTTCTGGACAGCTCTGCTTGTGACTGCGGCCGCCGTCTATGAAGACCAAGTGGGCAAGTTTGACTGGTGCGTACGCGTGGGGCCTATTCGGGAAGTCGGTGGCTGTATTCTCAGCACGTGTCTTTTACCTGCTAAAAGGAGCAGGATGGAGCTACCCAGCTTGCAGCCCCCCGTGCAAAATGAGAACGTTGCGGCCTCTTGTTCAAAATGAAGAAATTTAAGACGTCGACCTAGGAGCCTTGAGCCAAGCTCTGGGGAGTCTTCTAAGCTGGTCCTGTGTGACTGTACAGGTTGCACGCCAGTGAAGCCTGCCCTGGCGCCCAGGCACACTTTGGGGGTTCTGGTCAGAGGTCATTGCTACCGGCTGCTCCCGTCAGGTCCTGTTTCTGTGACTGTCAGATTTCTAGTCTCTCTGGTGTCAGAGGTGTCCAGCCCTCACTGAACTTTCATTCCTCTTCGAAGTGGCTGGCGTTTCTTAGCATGTGAGCAGAGGCTTTTGTCTTACAAGTCCTATATTGACTGTCCTCTTTCCACTCCTTTCATCCCAGGACGGCCCTTGGCTCAGAGCGTGGGCGCCTTAAACTGTCATCAGCCAGGAGGTGCCATGCACTCATTCACTCACCTCTTAAGGCCCTGCTGTTGGCTTGCTTGTGTTTGAATGTCCTTTTTGCCACTCAAGGGTTGTATGATCTGTGCCTTGGTTAGCTTATTTGTAACATGGGTTTATTAATTGTCCATTACTCCTATGATTGTTGTAAGGATGAATGAATGATCCCTTCAAAGCACTAAGAAGGAAGTCTGGCACATTGCGTCTGTCAGGGCTCAACTGCTCATGTATCGCCTCTGTGAAGTCTCTTTGTCTCAGATAGATTCACACATCTGTTGAGTGCCTATTTGTGCCAGACAGTGTGACAAATGCAGTATCCTCCCCACCCCCTTTTGGCGACACTGGGGTTTGAACTTAGGGCCTCACACTTGCTAGGCAGGTGGTCTTATCCCTTGAACTACTCCACCAGCCCTTTTTTGTGATTTTTTTAGCTTTTGAGATAGGGTCTCTTGAACTATTTGTGGGGGCTGGCTTTAAGCTGCAAGCCTCCTGATTTCTGCCTCTTGAGTAGCTAGGTAGGAGTATAGGTGGGAGCCACTGGTGCCTGGCTTCTTCCTTTTTTTTTTTTTTTTTTTTGTGGCAGGGTCTCACTGTGTAGCCAGGTTGGCCTTGAACTCAAAGGTTCTCCTAAGTGCTGGGAAATCACTATTTTTTTGGTGGTGGTGGGGGACTGGGGTTGGAATTCAGGGCTTTGTGCTTGCTAGGCAGGCACTACTACTTGAGCCGCATTTTTAATGATGTGTGCAAATGTTCCCAATGTCATATGTGTATATTACACCTCAGCAGATGATTGCAGTTTAGCAGAATACTACATATATGCAATTTTCAAATTGAAAACTAAACAGAAGGTAATATACCTAAATGTTTAAAGTATATCTGTGATCTGTGTTGGTGGTTGTATGAGTTTGGTATAACAAAATAGCATAGACTAGATGGCTTATACAGCAGAAATTTATTGTCTTTCTTTTCTTCCTTTTTCTTTTCTTTCTTTTTTTTTTTTTAAGACAGATTCTCACTATGTTGCTTAGGTTCTGCCTCAGCCTCCCTAGTAGCTGGGATTATAGGTGCATGCCACCATGCCTGGTCCCTTTCCCAAAGTTCTGGAGGGTGGATGTCTAAGATGAAGATGTTGGCTGATACAGTTTTTCTCAAGGCCTCTTTTCTTGGCCTGCAGTGGTTGTCTTCTCATTGTGTCCTCACATGGCTCTGTGGACATCCCTCTTATTATAAGGACATAGTCCTGTTAGATTAGGGCCCTACCCTTTTGATCTCATTAAACCTAATTCCCTTTTATCTTACTGTTTTTATAGCTACTTAGTCAATGAGTGTAATGTCTTTTCTGAAAAATCTTAGAAAAATTTTCTTACAAAATTGTTGTTTGGTTTAGCTCTCAGCAGCCTGCTCCTGAACTCTGAGAGAGCTTGCCTTTCTTTGAGCTCTTAATCCTTCCTCTGGGCAAGGGACATTTTGAGATGGTTCCACTTCTTCTTTTTAATGTCTCTCCTGGGCTTCTTCTAATAGACTGGATTCTCCTAGAGCAGCATTAGCTGTCTTATAAATGTCCATCATGTCTGGAAATACATTGTTCTTCATGCACCAAGACAGTTGTTGATAGCTAGCATCTTTCTCTTCTTCCATTAGGTAACTCATGTACTTCTGTGTTACATTCCTTGCTTTTAGAATCATAACCAGGGGATGGATTGGTACTGTGAGGGAGACATGAGCCTCTGGCCACACTCCCTGAAAACTGCATTGACAGTGGTGGTTCTGACAAGTCCTGCTTCCAAATAGCAGGTGAAGGCACCAGGTTGACTGCCAGTGCTTTCCATTCATCTTCAGTTTCCTCCATTTTGCCCCTCACACATCTCATCCATGCCACACTTACTGAGAAGCCTGTAGGCTAGCAGTAGCCAGGGCAATATGCTACATCCCATAATTTGTCAGGCCAGCTTTCATACCATATTGTGGTAGTGCATGTGTATAAACTTCACAGACTAACATATTCCCTCCACATAGGAGTGGGCAGTCTGACAAAAGGTGTGTGATGGTTACATGAAGTATACTGTAGTGCTTGCTTTGGCAGTACAGATACTAAAATTGGAACATGAAGTATGCTGGATTTGGGCATGTTGGATTTCTTTTTATCCTGGATTACAAAGCATTTTCAAGCATAGCAATCAGTTTTACACTGGTCTCTGAATTTCTCTTGTCATCTCTTAAAGGCCTCATTCTTGACTTTAATGAATTCTGAGCGGGCTGGTCCATGTCTGAGGCAGGACAATTGAGTCTGAGGCCAATCTGGGCTACCTAGTGAGTTCCAGGCCAGCCTGAGCACATAGTGAGACCCTGTCTCAAAAAACAAAAACAAACAAACAAAAAACTAAAATCCCATCCTGTAGATCAGAGAATTGTGTGCACAGATTGGCACATTCCTGTCCTAATTCCCCACCCCTCTTTTTTTGAGGCAGGTTCTTCCTGTGTAGTCCAGGTTGGCTTTAAACTCATGATCTTCCTGCCTCAGCTTTGTAGTACTGGGATTTCAGGCGTGTGTGACTCTTAGTTCCATCTTTAAAGGCCCTATCTGCAACTGTAGTCATGTTGGGAGTTAGGGTTTCAATATCTGAATTTTGGGGAGACATTCAGTCCATTACAGTGTTTTTTGGGTCTTATTTTTTTAAATGCCTTTATGGGTTTTTTTCATTATAAGTCCCCCCACCACACACAACTTTTTTTCTTTTTTTGTTATGCTGGGGATCAAACTCAGGGCCTCACACAGGCCGAATATGTGCTCTACCAATCTTTTTTTTTTTTGTCAGACAGGGTCTTGCTTTATTGCCAAGGCTGATCTCGAACTCTTGGGCCCAAGTAATCCTCTTGCCTCAGCCTCAGAGTAGCTGGAACCACGGCGGTATGCCTGTGGCCAGTAAAATATCAGTCTTTAAAAAGAAAGAATGAATTTATTTTATAGCCTGAAGGTGTTCATTTTGGTCCTAGTTCTAACAGTAATTAGCTGACCTCCCTGCACTTTTGTTTCCCTCACTTGTAAAATGGGGGTAATAATATGTGTCTTTCACACCTCGTAGGATTGTTCAGTGAATAGTGAAAACACAGGTAGAAACTGCCAAACATGAAGCTGTCTCTCTACTACCAGTTTAGCTTTTTTTTTTTTCCCAAAAAAAAAAAAAAAACCCCAGAAAAACCCCAACTAGACCAAACAGCATCAGTGTAGATGTCACATGTGCTTAGGGCTGACAGTACTTCTTCACTCACAGTAGTGTGTGAAGCACTTCCTACGTACCCGGTCGTTTATGCGTTTATGCCTAGGGAAGAGTGTTGAAGGTAGTGTCGTAACTCAAGGAGTTTTGTTGGAAATTTTGCACTTTTTTTCTCAAGACATTGCTGAAAATAGAAAGAGGTTAGTGGAATTTGGATTGTATTCTCATTGAAGGCAAGGTCTGAGTGTCTTTGATATAGCTGTGTGCTGAGTCGTACCATTGCTGAATATAGAGAAGATTGTAACTTGTTTCTAGTGGGGTTTAGGCCAGGGGCTCTTTGGGACATTACTTCTCTTGAGTAAATAAATATGTGCTTATGTTTGCCTAGAAGACTGTTAGTAGTTCTCATCTCCTTGGAGGTAATTCTCTTCTCTTGTTCCCTTTGCTTCTGACTCCATTGCATGGAAATCTTGTCTTTGGTCAAATCTCTTCATTAGCAGACATTTCTTATGTGTGGCAAGGTAGATATGGTGGTGATAACCTAGTAATTTGTTTCTGCAAAGCATTTTGTGCAGTGATGACTTTGTCTTTTATGTCCCCTACACTCTACCTCAGGAGACAGCAGTATGTTGGGAAGCTCAGGTTTGCCTCCTTGGAATTTTCCCCTGGATCCAAGAAGTTGATTGTGGTCACTGAGAAGAATGTGATTGCAGCATTGAATTCTCGTACTGGAGAGATTTGTGAGTGAGCTATGTGGATGGGGTGGGTTTGGGGTGGGATGGTGTCTCACTTGGTCCCTCCCTTAAGGGGAGTGGGAGCACATGTGAACGTGAGACAACTGTGTCATCACTGACCACAGTGAATCTGAGTGGCCTGTGGCTCACCACACTTTCATTTCCCCCTGGATTAGGGGCATGCTGGCCAAAAGATGCCTTTCTTAGTGGATTCTGATACTTTTTAATGTTTTTTTTACAGTATTACCATCTTTGAATACTTAAAAACTGGTATTTGCAGTTTATTCCCTTAGTCCGGAGTATCGTTAAATAAGATATTGCTGCAGGCCCACTTACTCTATTTTGCAGTGAAGACTTGGATGACTCCTTTTACATTACCTCTGCTGACTGGATTGTTTTTAGTCACTAAACTCATGGAAATAGAACTTATTATCACTATTTTTCTTATGGGTTGGATGGAATTTTGCTAATCTCGTCATTACTCATCTACATGTTTAATGGGGTGGTAGTGGGGACTAGAGGTGCAGAGACCTCAGATGGGGAAGTAGTGTCTCCTGTCACCCCTGTCCCCTTCGTTACCCAGTGAGTGGGATGTATCATGGCCAGTTAGCAGTACTCGTTCCCGCCTTCTAAATGAAGTTGGATACTGCTTTGCAAACAAGCCCTCAGCCCTTTCCTAGTTTTCTTGGGTCAAAGTAATGATCACAGGAGTGTCACACTTTCATGTCTTTCAGTGTGGCGCCATGTTGACAAGGGCACAGCAGAAGGGGCTGTGGATGCCATGCTGCTTCATGGACAGGGTAAGCAGAGGCCTGCTGGTCTCCGTCGTGGGGTCGGCCTCCTCTCCCATTCCTTGATTCCTTTGTATACAGTCTGATGGGGAAAATAGAGGGGATGCTCCTGACGGTGAAGGACAGGTGCCTGCATAACATCTGTTTGCATCCATTAAGTCACAGGTGGGCCACTGCTCATGGGCCATAGGAGGTGACAGAGCAGGTGTAGGACTGTCTTCCATTGGTCTTTTCTCTTGCAGATGCAATCACTGTGTCCAACGGAGGCCGCATCATGCGTTCTTGGGAGACTAACATTGGGGGCTTGAACTGGGAGATAACCTTGGACAGTGGCAGGTAGGAGAAGAGACTGAATTTCATCATGGCTGAGTGACAGGCTATGCTGGAGCATGAATCTGCATGCACAGCAACTCTGGGCCATTTGGCTTTTTTCCCAGGGACCACTGAAGAGTGCTTGAGGTTATGGAGCACATGTGTTTACTTAGCCAGTCTTTATTTAACACCCATTGGTTGCAGCTATGTATGAGGTGCAGCGTTTACTGCATTTGAATGCTTTTCCTTTCTTACCATAATTTGAGCTTTGCCAGGTTCTTGGTATAAGAACATAATACAAAATTTGGCATATTTTAGTTTTATGTTTAGAGAACAACTTGAGCCACTGTTCCATCTTTGCTAGGTTATTTTAGTTATAGGGCTGTTTGCATTACCTTATACATCTTAATGATAGTAATTTACTTGGTTGGGCAGTGATAGGAACACGTACATAAATGTGATATAACTGTCATCAAATTCATGCTCAGTTGAGGGGGTAGACATTAGCTCAGTAATGACAGCATTGTCTGGTGGGTGTATGTTAGAGATTGGCCTGGCTACCACAAAGTCCCAGGGGAAGGAAGAAACAACTCTTAGGAGATTTGTGTGTGTGGGAAGCAATATGGTCAAGTGATTGCAATGCAGAGTCTTGATTTGGGTAGTAACAGGCAATTGAAGACTCTTGAGTTGGGTATTAACAGGCAGAGTCAGGATTAGCATCCAGGTGTGCTTGGACCCAAAACCTATTTTCTTACCCTGAAGGAACAGTGGCAGTGGTGGGACTGTCTGCTCTAGTCTGAGGCCTCACCTGTACCTGTGCTTAGTTTCCAGGCACTTGGGCTGGTGGGGCTGCAGGAGTCAGTGAGGTATGCTGCAGTCCTGAAGAAGACGACTCTTGCCCTCCATCACCTCTCCAGTGGGCATCTGAAGTGGGTGGAGCATCTCCCAGAAAGGTAAGGCTGTCCCTTCCAGACAATGGTGACCTCATCCCACTACGCTTAGTCCTTTTCCTTGAGGAGATGTGCTTGGCTGGGGCCCTTGTGTTGGTGTCGTGCATGGTATGGTGCACACTCTTGATGTGGGCCTGAGCACAAAGGCTGTGGCTATATCTGGAGTGTCCTTTCCAGGGAGGAGAAATCTCTCAAATTGGGGCACTAGAGCCAGTCAAGCAAGAGAGCTACTTGCTTGCTCATGGGTGTGGTGCTTTGGGCTTTTTTGACTTCTAGTTCAAGATAGATTGAACCTTTCATTGACATTAAGAGTTAGAACAACTCAGGAAGAGCTCAGGATAGGGACTGAGTGAGGCTTGAGATGAGTTCAAAAGGTCCTGGGGGTGGAGAGTGTTGAAGCTGGGAAGGAATGGGGGAGGAGGGGAAAGAAAAGTTCTGCTTAGACCACCCGGTAGCCATTTTCAAAGTTTAGGGCAGGGATCAAAAGTCAAACTCCTAGCTGTGTGTGGTAGGGCACGCCTATAATTTCAACAATTCGGAGGCCAAGTTAGGAGGATTCAGAGTTGAAACCTATACTGGGTTACATAGCAAGACTCTGTCTCAAAGGAAAGTCAAATTCCTGTGGGGCCAAGTAAAGAACATCATGGGTCTGGTCTTTTAAGCCAGGTGAGGACTGCTGAGAACTGCAGTGTGTCAGGTCTACCTCCAGGGGGCAGTGTTACTTAACTTACTGGTGCCCTGTGTGTATATTGATTGGCACATCTCTTAATTTAAGGAAAACTAGAAATTTGGTTCCTAGGTATATCAGTTCTAAATGTTGACAAGAAATTCAAATTAAAAACAAAAGCTAGCTGGGTGCCAGTGGCTCACACCTGTAATCCTAGCTACTCAGGCGGCAAAAATCAGGAGAATTGCACTTTGAAACCAGGCTGGTCTAATATTTCATGAGACCCTAGTCCTGAAAAAAAATCCTTCACAGAAAAAGGGCTTCACAAGTGGTAAGAGTGCCTGCCTAGCAAGAATATAGGCCCCGAGTACAAACCCTATGCTGCAAAACAAAAACAAAAAACCAAAAGCAAAGTTGAGGTGTAGCTTGCACTTGCCTATCATAAGGGAGGTCCTGGGTTTGTTTCCCAACACTGCAAAAAACAAACAAACAAAAACCAAAAGCAAAACCCAGAATGTGTGATCCAAACAAAACCCATTTGGAAGTTTCTAGTTTGTGATAACTGGCTATGGATGGCAGCCTGATTTTGGACGACCCTGGGAATGTTCCTATCCAAGGGCTAACACAGCTTCCCCTGCTCTCTTTCCTTCCTTAGTGACAGCATCCACTACCAGATGGTGTACTCCTGTGGCTCTGGGGTGGTGTGGGCTCTCGGCATTGTTCCTTTCAGCCATGTGAACATTGTCAAGTTTAATGTGGAAGATGGAGAGATTGTCCAGCAGGTATGGGAGGGCATTTGGTTGGAGGGTTCTTATGAATGGAAAGGGAGGTTCATAGAGACCTTCTTTGCACTGGGGACTAGGGGTCTTGGCTGTACGGATGCAGGAGCCATTTATGGCTCCTAATTCTGATCAGTTGCTGCTGTCTTGCCCTCATCAGTGTTTTTAAAGCAGTTGTATTTCCCCTTGTACTACCAAAAAAATTAAAAATAAAATAAGATGCCACAGTGTAATTTGAAATCTCTTTTACAGGCTGGCAGAGGGGCTCAAGTGGTAGAGTGCCTGCCTAGCAAGTATGAGGCCCTGAGTTCAAACTCCAGTGCTGCCATTAAAAAAAAAAAAGTACTTTATATTTCTGGGGTCACTAAAAAATACCCAGATCTAGTCTCTTCTAAGATAATTCTATAAAATATCAGAAAACGTCATGTGACAAATGTAGTAGAGAAATACTTATTTAAAGTGTCAGGTATTTGTTATCTGGTATATTTTTCCCATGGCCAGAGGAAAACATAGTGGTGTTTTTCCATCTTTGAAAGTTCTTGGAGGCTGCATGGTAGGGGCAGAAGACCCCCTTCAGAACCAGCCAGGCAGAGCTTTTGCGCTTAGGACCCTCGGTGGGATTCCAGCAGTAATGCTGCTGATGAGCCGAGAGGGAAGGTAAAGAGCATTTTTGAACCGCTGTTTTGATGTCTTTCCTGCAGGTCAGAGTTTCGACCCCATGGCTGCAGCATCTCACTGGAGCCTGTGGTGTGGTGGATGAGGCTGTCCTGGTGTGCCCTGACCCGAGCTCCCGTTCCCTCCAAACTCTGGCCTTGGAGTCAGAATGGGAACTGCGGCAGATCCCCCTGCAGGTGAGAGGCTGCAGGTGAGAGGGAGTAGCTGCTCTCCTGGCCAGAGGCATTGCTTCTGGACTTAAAAGAGGTGGCAAACTGGGCGCCAGTAGCTCATGCCTATAATCCTAGCTATTCAGAAGGCAGTGATCAGGAGGATTGTGGTTTGAGGCCAGCCTGAGCAAATCGTTTATGACCTTATCTCCAAAATAACCATAGCAAAATGGATTGGAAGTGTGGCTCAAGTGATATAGCACCTGCTTTGCAAGTGTGAAACCCTGAGTTTCAACCCCAGTTCCACCAAAAGAAGAAAAGAGATAGCTTGATTCCCTGGGTGGGGGTTGTCTTTTCTCTGGGTGGTGTTGCTTGCTCCTTGATTTGTGGAGCCATAACGAGAGGTTCAGGCCTCTGGCTGACCTGGTGTCAGGAGAAATGGGCCACTGTCCCTTTAGGGGAAGCTAAAAGGGAGCTTCTGTAGCCTCCTACCCTGGTTAGTTATACTCCCTAGCAAAGTGGAGCAGAGGATGCAAGCCTGGATGGGTCAGCAACTGGTTAGCTTCTCGCCCTAAACTTTCTTCTTCTTGCCTCCCTTAGTCTCTCGATTTAGAATTTGGAAGTGGATTCCAACCTCGGGTGCTGCCCATACAGCCCAACCCAGTGGAGCCTTCTCGAGCTCAGTTCTTCCTGCAGGTGTCCCTGACCCACTATGCTCTGCTGCACTACCACCACGGTGCTCTGAGTCTGCTCAAAAACTTCCCCCAGGTAATCACAGACAGTGCAGTGACTAGGATGCAGGAGGGTCTATCCAAGACAAGGATGCTAGGGGCAATGCTATTAAATTTGGAGATGTTTGTTCCTAAGCCCAAGATCGATGGCCCTGACCTGTAAGTGCTCTGAGATGAGGAACCTTACAGCAGGAATAGAGTATTTTTTCTCCTCTGTATTACAGAGGATCTTCAAAGTAAAACTCAGAGTCCACAGAAAGGCAGGGATATCAGTGAAAGCCTCCCTATAGATACACTCAGACTGGGGTTTAGGGTGACTTGTGCCTGGGCTAGAGGGAGGAAAAGTTCTGTTAGATGCAGCAGGGGCCTCACTTCCCTCTGCTCTCAGATGCTCTGGCCATTATTTCCAGAGTCGGGAGCACTTTGAACTCCAAGGTCAGGGGACTTTCCCAGGAGAGGTGATCCTCTGGAAGGCTGTTGTCTAGTATAGGCCCTATCTGGGAACTGACACCTGACTTTCCCCTCCAGACTGCCCTCATGAGCTTTGCCACCACTGGGGACAAGACAGTGGCTGCAGTCATGACCTGTCGGAATGAAGCGGTGAGTACCTATAGTAACAGCCAGCACATACATGGGTTTCCCTCCTTGTCGCTGCTGGGAACCCTGACAGAAGTCTGGGCACATGCACCTGGTCAGGTTGAACATGGGAGCTGGAGGCTGATGAGAGGTGAGTTCTTGCCTCATTTACAACTTTCTGCACATCTCCTGAAAAAACGGAAATAAAAGCTTCATTTTTGGCAACTGGCTGAATTTTCTTTTGTCCTCTCTTCTCTTGCAGAAGCATAGCATTTCTGAAGATGGGTCTTTGGGGAGCTTTTCAGAGAAGTCTAGTGTACAGGTAGGGTATGGCATCTGGCAGCAGACAAACCTAGAGACACGGGTGCCACCTGAGAATGTTGGGAGCAACTGAGGCTATCAGAGCTCTTTGGGTTCCCAGCCTGATAGGCTCTGAGTACCACAAGTTAAGTGGTGTTTCTCTTCACCCTTTTTTATGGCTAGATGAGGAGATAGAATCCCTGGCATTTGTTCCTAGCCATTTTCTTCTCTGGGTCTCAGTTTCCTGATTCCTTTTGGGATTCCAACAGGTGGGAGAACTGAACAGTATTCTGTTCAGTGCACTAGGCTGCAGTATGGGGCCCTGGCTGGACTCCCAGTCTCAACTGTGGCCTCATTCTAGAGGTTTTCCCTGCTATTGTCCTTGGTCATGTTCTTACCTCTCTTTGGGAAGTCTCTGCTACACTATACAAACTGGCTGCCTTCTAAGATGAGTACAGTAGTTGGAATCTCATTTAATTACTCAGTTACCTCATTTCTGTCTTAGGATTTAGCTTTCTTCTTTTTCTTTGCATGTATTTCCCCTTCCAGCCTGGTCCCTGCTCTAGGATATTTGCTCCTAGTCCTTGGACTTCCTAAGAACTGTGCTGTTTGCATCCTTAGGAGTCACTGGCTTGCTTCAACCAGACCTATACCATTAACCTCTACTTAGTGGAGACAGGTCGGCGGCTGTTGGATACTGCCATTACCTTCAGCGTGGAGCAGCACGGCACTCAGCCTGAGCGAGTGAGTCAGAGCCTCTGCCTTCAGACTTTGTCTTTTGGGCTTCTCAGTACATGCTTCACGTCCTTAGGCCAGGCTGTAGCCATGGTCCGGAATTAGGGCTCTCTGAACATGGGTTCTAGTTCTTCCTGAACTATCGAGACTGCTCATCAATAATAGTGAAAGCTGCTGTTATTTATGCCCAGTGTCAGGAGCATCAGGCACCATGCTTAGCTCTTAACCCTCCCAACGGTTCTGTGAAGAATCGTTACTGGTCTGCTTTACAGATGGCTCTGTGGCCCAGGGGCATTCTGTACCCTATCCAGAGTTGCGGACCTAGTAAGACGTGTTGCTGGGGCTCAGGCTTGGGGCTGTCTAATTCCCTAGCCAACTCTTCTCAGCTTACCCAGTGTTCCTCTGGAGACAATGAGCTGTATTCCTCAGTCTTTTGGCTATGGCTTCTTTACTCTTAAAATGTAAAATCCAGTCCTGGCCTCTTGCTCACTTTGTGGGGTGTGACTGGGGCATGGGTGGGTGATGGTATCATCTAGTACTCAAATTTCTTCATAGACAGGTCCAGAGAGCCTTCAACCATTGCTATGTTGGCTCCAAAGGATGTACGTTATCTTATTGGTATCCAGATAATAGCTGCATTTTTTTTAACACGTCAAATAATGCTATGGCCTAGACCTTAGACTACTCCTAACACTTTGAATCTTGGGGTGTAGTACTCTGAGAGACATTTGGATTCTCACTAACTGTTTGGCTTCTAGCTATATATCCAGGTGTTCTTGAAGAAGGATGACTCAGTGGGCTACCGGGCTTTGGTGCAGACACAGGACCACCTGCTGCTTTTCCTGCAGCAGCTGGGTGAGTGCGCCTCATCCATCCTAGTGCAGTCAGCCTGTCCAGTCTGGTTGTTCAAGGGGACCATGGACAGGCTTCCAGGAAGGCTCAGATGGAGTGTACCCTGAACATTTTCCATAGAGCCATCTGTCTCCTGCTATTCAAAAATTCCATAGCATTCTAGGGTGAGATTTAGAACCTTCCTCACTTGACCTGTGATTCCGGCCCCTTGTTCTACCACTTGTATTTGTCCCTGAGAATTGACCTCTAAGCCACCTAGAAGTGGCCTTTCAGAGGGCCAGAGAGGCAGGCTGAACTTTTAAAAACTTGTTTCCCTTAGCGGGGAAGGTGGTGCTGTGGAGCCGCGAGGAGTCCCTGGCAGAAGTAGTGTGCCTGGAGATGGTAGACCTCCCCCTGACTGGCGCACAGGCTGAGCTGGAAGGAGAATTTGGCAAGAAGGCAGGTATGAACCCCTAAGAGTGGGACGCAGAGTTGTTGGAGAGGCTCCTGTGGGGCTGGGGTTGCTAATTGGACCTCAGGATGTCCCTGGCTTCTTGGGCTCAGCCTCGTGTTCTGAAGGAGCTGTGTGGGCAGTTTCCAGTAAATCTGTGGCCCTGTGGTGCACATCCAGTGAAAGAGTGAACTGTGAGTCCCTGTAGGGAAAGAGCCTGAGGCAGAAATTTTTCACTTAGAGTATAGCTATCACTGCCAGAGTACCTGAAAGTTCTCAGGCACTATGCCAGGCACTGTCCACCCATTGTCTCCAGACAACAGCCCTGTGTACCTAGAGAGAAATGACTAGGTTCATCTGTTTACTGTGGAGACATCCCAGTATCCTCTGAAATAGGCCATGGCCTCAGCCCCCAGTGTGAATGTGATTCATTCCATTCCAACTCAGTCCTGCCTCTCCCACCCCCCATTCATCCAGCCATCTAGCAGGTAGCTGTTGAGGACTACTTTTGGCCAGGTACTCCACTAGGCATTGCACATTTTCTTAAGCTGAGGATTAATTTGACTTTACTATTTATTTCTGCTGCCCGGATCCAGCGATTCAAGGTAAATCCTGCTTCTTGCTGCCTTCTTGCTCATTGCCTGCCCACATGGCTAGCTTTTGGTTAATTGTTTTTCCTGACTTGCATTAATGAAGTACATATGGTATATGCATAGATTGCTCTGCTTTGACTTGCCCTGTCTGTCTCTCCCTTCTCTTCCTTGAGCTGAGGTAGATGGAAAATAGGTGAGCAAAGGTACTGCTGTTTAGTGAGTACTTACCATGTACCAAGTGGTGTGCTAAGTCCTGTATATATGTCATCTGATCTAACTTTTTAACAGCCCTCTTGGTTACATGCCATTTTATAGGTGAGGAACCAAAGGCACAAAGGTTAAGTACATTTTCCAAGGTCACACAGTATTAAGGACTGGATCTGGGATTTTAATCCAGGCCTGCCAGACTCCAGAGACCCCGCTCTTTACCCTGTTATCTGCACTTCTCATCAAATCTCCAGTCTCTGGTGGAGGAGATATAGAGGGTGGTGGCCTTATCAAGAGTCAGGGATGGAGGGAGTGGTGGCCCTGGGAATGGGTTGCAGAAAGGTCTGTTGGGAGCAGGTTAAACAGCTGACAAAGTGGAACGAAGCAGCGGGAAGTAGAAGCGCTCGTTCATGATACCCACACTTGCATCTCTGCGCCCCCACACCTGCACTTCTCTGACTTTGTCGTGGCACCCAGACATTGTCCTTTGGCCATCCTGGATGTGGGTCTGTGGTGGAAATATTCACAGCATGGCTGCACCCTGCATGGCTGATCCCTGACCTTGTAGTCCCTTATAAGATTCCAGGCAGATGAAGTTGTAAGTGCCAGGTAAAGAGGTTTTGGAAGCTTGTGCATGGCTGTACCTGAGTGTGAGACTATTGACATCAGCCATAGACTGCCCCTTGGGCTTGTGGCCTGTAGTGTGAGTAACTCAAAGGCTTTGCAGGAGGAGGAGAGGTCCTTCCCTGTGAAAAGCATGCATCCTCTTGCTGGATACCTAGTCTGACATTAAGTGCTTTATTTTCTGCCTGACACCAGACGGTTTGCTGGGGATGTTCCTGAAACGCCTCTCGTCTCAGCTCATCCTGCTGCAGGCATGGACTTCCCACCTCTGGAAAATGTTCTATGATGCTCGGAAGCCCCGTAGTCAGATTAAGAATGAGATCAACATTGACACCCTGGCCAGGGATGAGTTCAACCTGCAGAAGATGATGGTGATGGTAACAGCCTCAGGCAAGGTGAGGGTACCGAACTCTCTGAAGTTCAGGGGTGGGAAACAAAATGTTTTGGTAGGGAGGGGATAGCACTGGTTCCAGTTTGCAAGGATAGAATCAGTTCTTTGGCTTCTAGTTGTGAGCCCACTATTTGTTTATCTTGCAGCTTTTTGGCATTGAGAGCAGCTCTGGCACCATCCTGTGGAAACAGTATCTACCTAATGTCAAGCCCGACTCCTCCTTTAAGCTAATGGTTCAAAGAACTACTGCTCATTTCCCCCACCCGCCTCAGTGCACACTGCTGGTAAAGGACAAGGTGAGGCCCTCGATGTCCATCCAACTGGAATCAAAGTGGTGTGGCTTTTTTGGTGTTTTGCAATTTAAATTTCTCCCAGGCCTTTGGAATTCTATGAGTCCAAGAGGAGCATTCAGGGTGTAGGACTCTTGTTTCTGTCATTCTCTTGCTTGGGTGGAGGAACCATTCAGCACTGACTAGAAAGTGGGTCTAACTTCAGCCAGTGTCTTCCTTTCCAGTCAGAGGCTATCATTGGTAACTGAGTGTTTTCTCTTCTCTCTGTGAGGGAGATTAGGACACAAGATATCTCTGCCTCCCTGAATCAGAATGTTTTTTTTTTTTTGTTGTTTTTTGGCAGTACCAGGGTTTGGACTCAGGGCTTTGCACTTGCTAGGCAGGTGCTAGTATGGATTTTCATGGATCCATTCTAGTAGTTTTATGAGAGGGGGTTTGGTAGACACTCTTCCAGACTGGCAATTAATATTTGACTTTATTTTTGGTGCTAGGAGTGAACCTTGGGCCTCATGCACGCTAGGCTGGTGTTCTGCTACACTGTCAGCCCCGTACTGGACCTTTTGCTTTGTTCTTTAGTGTGTCTGGCTCAGAGGCAGTTCAACCTTTTCTCTTTGGATGTTAGCCTAGGGGACCATCTACCTTTAGCCAAGAACTTATTTTCCACAGAGGGCAAAGACTGGGGAATTCCTCACAGTTAAGCTGAACTCTCAGCTTTCTAAATTTACTTGTAGGATTTGGATTCTTTCCATGTTTGAGTCTTGACAGTTTGCTGCTCATTTTAGGAAACAGGAATGAGTTCTCTGTATGTCTTCAATCCCATATTTGGCAAATGGAGTCAGGTGGCTCCCCCAGTGTTGAAGCGCCCCATCTTGCAGTCTTTACTTCTCCCAGTCATGGATCAAGATTATGCCAAGGTGTTGCTGTTGATAGATGATGAATACAAGGTACAATGTCTTTGGGAGGGAAGGAGCGGAGAGGGATGGAGGCATTCAAGTGAAGTTTGGTGTGGGATGGGTTGGTCAAACTCAAGTGGTGGGGTCAGGGATAGAGCACTGTCTGCAGTCAGCACACGTTTGCTCTCAGGCCATCCTCAGAGACATTATGACTGTTTCTGCACTTGTAAATGCTTAGGGTCTTAAGAGAACTAAACTTAAGCTCTAAACAGAGCTCAGTAGACTCTGGCTCCTTTAAGATTTGCTACTTTATTCCTTACTTGATGGAGAAAGCAGAAACAGGTAGTGGGACATGGGCCTTAAAGATTTCTGAACCTTCTTTTAATACTTTTTGTGGGCCATCTGGGTTTTTCAAGGTCACAGCTTTCCCAGCCACTCGGAATGTTCTACGACAGCTACATGAGCTGGCCCCTTCCATCTTCTTCTACTTGGTGGATGCAGAGGAGGGACGGCTCAGTGGATACCGGCTTCGAAAGGTAGAGAGGGGCACCTCAGAAGGCCCCTTCTGAGGGGGGTGTGAGTCTTTCCTGATTACTTGGCTAAGAAGTGAACCGTGCTTCTCCTCATGTGGCATACTTTGATCAGCACAATCCTGACATCTGGGTCAGTGTTCATCTGTTCATGCTGGTTGGGAAGCTGCTCTGTGGCAGAGGTGGCTCCAGATACTGCAGATAGGCAGTGCACAGTGGGCCACATCTCTGCCCTCAAGGACCTTTCATTCCACATTCTTTTTCTGTGTTCTCCATTCTGAAGATGGGAGGTAGGAATCGGGCTGAGTAGTGAGTTGTACATTTGTATAAAGGTGGTATTATTGATGCTCTAAACAGAACATTTGCTTTGAATTTTATTTCTAGAAATGGGCTCATTTGTTCTGATTCTGACTTACTTGAATCCAGCCGTCATGCAAATAGTGATACACATTGGCTCTCAAGTTCACAAGGGGCCAGCCTTGGCCTTGTTAGCAGGGCTATGCAGAGGGGGCTTTGTGGTATGTGCTCGTCAGATAGTCCTCTCTTTCTGTCCTTAAAGCCTTTGGAGAGACATGCTTCACAGAGGGAAAGAGCTTGGACTCAGCTGCCTGCTTTTCTACTCTAGCTTTATCACTTCTTAACTTTGTGCCTGGAACATCCTGCATCTCTGGCCCTCTGTTTTCTTATGTATAAAATAAGGTGATTGTGGTTCACCCTGTAAGGTTGCTGTGAGAATTGAGTGAGTGGTAATGCATGTAAATCACATAAAGCAGTGCCTGGCATATAGTAAATTCCAGCTGAGTTTGAGCTCTCATTGTGTAGAAAGCACAAGCCCTTTCCTGACATTTTTGGAACAAAACTGTCCAGAAAACTCTTTTTTTTTTTTTTTTTTTAAGACAGACTCTTGCTGTATATTCCAGGCTGGCCTAGAACTTGCTTTGTAGCCCTGTCTGGTCTTGAACTTGAGATACTCATATCTCAGCCTCCTAAGTGCTTGGATTGCAGGTGTGTACCACCATGCCTAGCACAAACACATTCTTTACCTTGGGTGAAGAAAAATTGTACTTCCAAGTTCATGAAAAGGGAAGTTTGTAAAAGATAGTTCTTTGGAGATAGAGGGAAGTGAACTAGACGTGGTATCATGAATCAGTGGAACCTTGAGTATGTCATCTAAGCCAGCATGACCAGAGGAGACAAAGGAGCTTTTTGTGGGTCATAAGCCAGGACTGGGCTTAAGGTCTGACCTCCAAATATAGTTACTGTCTTTCTCCTCATGTGATGACCTTACCCTCTGGAGATGTGTTAGTGAGTTACCAGGTTTTTAAAGAAGACTGTGGCAAACAAGGCTTATTTGGGGTTTTTGTTTGTTTTGGTGGTACTGGGGTTTGAACTCAGGGCCTTGTGCTTGGTAGATAGACACTCTACCACTTGAGCCATGCCTCCAGTATGTTTTGATTTTTTTTTTTGCGACAGTCTCCCTATGTAGCCCAGGGTAGCCTTGAATTCACCATCTCCTTCCTGCATACCTCCTGAGTGTTGGGATTAGCTATGCACCACCACATCCATCTTATTTGTTATTAGTAAAAATTTTATCAAAAACTTTAAGGAGTATATGAATCTATTCTCATTGTAAAAGATTTCATTGATACAGAGGTCTTCTAGCAAGGTGTGAGCAGACCCTTGCAGCATCCTTCCCAGCTATCCTCCTTATCAGCCATTTGCTGTGCCTCTTCCCCATCCTTTCTGTGTGTTTATATTACTGTAGCAATGGCATTTATATTTATTTGCTTTTTTTACTTAATGTGTTTTCTGTCTCATTATTCAGAAGCCTGTTTTTTTGTTAAAGTAAAATGTTGAGAAAAATGCAAAATCGTGAGTTTCAGTGAATCTTCAAGAAAGGAATGCACTCGTGTACAAGGCAGTCAGATCAGGAAGAGGAGCAGTGCAAGCATACTGGAACCCATGTCGCTTCCCAGTCATTCCCCCCACCCCCCAAGGGCTCCATTAATTCCATAGTGTGGTTGTAGAAATAATGTATTCCACAGTAAATGTTAACTATAGAACCATATAGGACATGTTTCAAGGTCCCAGCTAGCTTAGTCATTCATCACTGGATCTTAGATTTTATTAATAAATGGTTAGTTTCCTTGGATACTTCCTCCTTAATGAACAATGGGATGCTGTTGAATATTGTTTTCCTTTCTTTCTGGCCTTAGTTTCTTTCTTAAACAAACAGAGAGTTCCAGACTTCTTCATAAGCCAGATCTTCATTGGAAATTTTTGAGGAGTTCTCATCTTCCTTCTAGCACAAAGGCATCAGATACTGAATTATAGGATGTGTCAGCTACAGCTGTCTCAGCATACACGTACCTCCTGTTCACAAGCACTTTTGCCCCCAGGATCTCACCACTGAACTGAGCTGGGAGCTGACCGTTCCCCCAGAGGTGCAGCGGATTGTCAAGGTGAAAGGCAAGCGCGGCAGCGAGCACGTTCATTCCCAGGGCCGGGTGATGGGGGACCGCAGTGTGCTGTACAAGGTACATAGGGCACGGCCATCTGCCCGGGAAGGCTTTAGAATAGGGGAAGTAAGTGATGAAATGCTGCTCCTAGGATTTGGTATATAGCTTTGGTCAAATCATTTAATCTCTTTGAGCCTTAATTTAGCCTCTATAAAGTTTATTTTTTTTTGTGGGGCTGGCGGGGGTTTGGGGAGGGGCTCCTTCATGCCTTGAAAGTACTTTATTATTGGGCTACACCCCAATCTGAACATAGTAAGCCCTCTTCCTAAGGCTGTTGTGATGATCATTTGAGATACTCACTTTTTGGGGTTTTTTTAGAAAGTTTTTCTCTGTGAGATACTCATGTTTTACTCGGTGCTTGGTGTATGGTAACTATCCATTAGATGTTAGCTTGTATTATTAGTAGGGGTACCAATAAAGCCTTCTGTAATTTAACCTTAGCCAATCTATCAGAAACTCCATTTCTGTGACTTACACAACACTAGTTGGTGCTGAAGGGAAGAAGACAGAGGTGACTAGTGAGCTGCAAAAGTACCCTGTGAGAGAAGTAATCACGGTAGTAATAGACATTAATTCCATCCTTTGATGGAGTAGAGGCTGAGTTGGAAGGGGTTGTAACAGAATACAGTGATGAGACCTTGGAGCTCAATGGAGACATTGCTGTTTCACTGAGCAAAGCAGTGCAGCAGAGTGCAAGTCTCAAGTCTGACTGTCAGGTTCAGACTTGGCCCTGCCATGGACTAGCTGTTCATCTCAGGTAATTTCCTTGAGCTGCCTATACTTCCATTTTCACCAGTACAATGGGGCTAATAGCACCGACGTCAGAGGATTGTCTTGAAGAATAAAGACAACATGTAAAGCAACTAGAATAGTGACTGCTGCATAATCAACGTTATTAATCCTGTTGACTTAAATTCCTTATTGACGAATACTTTCCATGTGGCAGCAGTCAGTGTTAGGTTATTCGAGTTGCCAAAATTATAGAAATTCTAATGCACATATTGGGCTGAGGCTCAACAGTAGAGCAGTTGCCTAGAATACACAAGGCCCTGGTTTTGATCCCCAGCACTGCAAACTAAGTAAATAAATAAAAAAGTACAAAACAGTATAAAAATTTTTTTTAAATCAAAAGAAATACAGGCTGGGGGCATGGCTTAAGTGGTAGAGTGTTTGCCTAGCTAGTGTAAGTCCCTGAGTTCAATCTCCAGTACCACCAAGGAAAAAAAGAAGTAAGAAATAAAATATATCTTGACTCATACTAGAAAAAAAAGATCATGTAGTTTTACCTTTAAAAGAAAATATACTATAGTACTTGTGTTTCATATGCTGAAAAAATAGTATTTAGGAGTAGGGCAGTTTTGAATTCATACTCATTATGCAAATATTTTAGGTTAGTTTTTTTTTTAAGTTTTTTTAAAATAATCTTTTCTGGGGGCATAATTTCAGATTTACAGAAAAGCAAAGATAGTTCATAGAATTCCCATATCCCTCTTTCCTAGTTTCCCCTGTATGGCCATGGTATATTTGTCTAAACATGAAATCAATATTGGTATATGACTACTCGCTAAACTCCTGACTTTCTTTAGGTTTCATCAGACTTTTCACTGGTGCTGTTTTCCTGAGCCAGGATTGCACGTTGCATGTGTTGTCAGGGCTCCCTCTCTTGACACAGTTTTTCAGTCTGCCTTTGTTTTTCGTGACCTGATCGTTTTGAGGCGTACTAGCCAGGTGTTTTGTAGAATGTCTGTTAATTTTGGTTTGTCTGGTGTTTTTCCATGGGTAGACTGTGGTCATGAGTTTTTGGAAAGAAAGCTGCAGAGGTGAAGCAACTGACTGGCTGCCAGTTACTGGAATAACTCAGTAAACCAAGTAGACAAAGCTTCCTATCCAAATGAAGCTGCCATTATAGTTGGGATAGGCTAATAATAAAAACAATAAATAAGTAAACTATATAGTTTATTAGTAGGGTTCAGTTTTTTTTAGGAAAAACAAAGTCAGGAGGAGTGAAAAGGAGCACAGGCACAGGACTGGGAAGGAGATAACATTTAAAGTAGGTGGCCACAGAGGGCCTCACTGAAGTGAAGCCATAGATAGAGTGAGGAAATATCATGGACACCTAGGGGAAGAGCCTTCTAGCTAGACAAGCCAGAGCATGTCTGCTGCGTTCAAGAAACAGCAAGGAAGGCCTTGTGACTAGAACAGGGGGAGGGAGGGAGGAGGGGCATGGGGCCAGATCACTGGCTGTCACTCTGGCTTTTATTTGGAGTGAGAGGAAGAGCCACTGGGAACTTTTGAGCAGAACAGTGACATAAAGGCTGAGCTTTATTTTGTGTGTGTGTGTGTGTGTGTGTGTGTGTGGTACTGGGGTTTGAACTCAGGGCTTCATGCTTGCTAGTCAGATGCTCTACCACTTGAGCCACTCCACCAGTCCCTTTTTTGTGTTGAACATTTTCGAGATAGGATCTCGCAACTATTTGCCCGGGGCTGGCTTCCAATGGCAATCCTTCTGATCTCTGCCTCCTGAGTAGATAGGAATACAGGCGTGAGCCACTGGCGCCTGGCAATGCTGGGCTTAAACAGGCTCATTTGGCTAGACCCTGTACAGGGTCAACAAGAAAAGCAGGAAGACCAGTGAGGCCATTGTAGTAATCTACGCAAAATTACGGTGCTGAAACTGGCTTGATAATAGTGGAGGTGGTGAGGAAGGATGGGATTCTGGATACTTTTGAAGGTAGAGCCAATAGGATGTGTTGATGGCTATGGTGTCTGTGTGCTAGAGAGAGAGGAGAGTCAGGGATGCTATGGAGAGTTTAGTTCTGAGACTTGGCTGCATGGAGTTGCTGTTGACTGTGGTGGGTCCTGAGGCAGAGCAAGTTTAGGCAGGAAGAACCATTCAGCTTGGGGCATGTGACGTGTCAGATGAGCCATCTAAGGAAAGTACCAGGATGGCCATTTGTTAGTAATGTCTGGAATTCATGGGAGAGTCTGACTTGGATATATAATTTGAGCACTGCCAGTGCCTGTAAGTGATGGTGAAGCCATGAGACTGGCTTAGGACCTCAGTGAATGTAGGTAAAAACACCCAAGTCTTGAGTATTACCCGGTGTGTTCTGTTATGAAGAGATGGGGAGATATGAAGGAACCTTCTAGAGACTAAGAAGGAGAGGCTAGGAAGGCAGGAGGGAGAGCAGGAACAGGTGTTCTGAACACCAGGTAGTGAAAGCAGCTCATGAAGAACAGATCACTTGTGTCACATGGTGCTATTAGGTCAACAAGATGAGGACCAGCACTCACCCACTAGAGTTAGGGATAGGGAAGAACGATTTGGTGGAGAGAAGTGAGTTTCTGGAGTGGTGTCCTTAGGTCTTGAAACAGGCAGACCCAGGGTGTATCTTGGGTTGGCATGTGCCAGCTCTGACTTCCTTATCCACCACTCTGGATAGCAGTGGCTACTTCACAAGGTTATTGAAGGGATTAAGGGAAATGCAAGATACCTAGCATGGCCTGTAGTGCCCAGTAGACACAAACCAAGTGCAGGAATGAGAAACTCTACGGAGGAGGCTCTTCTAACTAGAAACCCTGGTTCCTCTGCCAGGCCAGCAAGTTCACAGTAGAGCCAAGTGCATGATGTGTCATTATGGTTCTAAAGGAGCTTTTCCCTCTCTCTCCCAGAGCCTGAACCCCAACCTGCTAGCCGTGGTGACAGAGAGCACAGATGTACACCATGAGCGCACCTTCATTGGCATCTTCCTCATCGATGGTGTAACTGGACGTATCATCCACTCCTCTGTGCAGAAGAAAGCCAAGGGCCCTGTCCTCATTGTGCATTCAGAGAACTGGGTGGTGGTAAGGAATCATTATCAGGGTCTGGCTGCTCAGGAGTCTCCCTGCACCTTTCCAGAAATCCAGACGCTGCTTTGTATTTTCATAGGATCCCAACCACCCTGGACAGCAGCACAGGGTCTTGTTGGGGGTGAGGCTCAGGAGTCAGAATGCCTAGGTTTGATCTCAGTTCTACCTATTCCCCTACTGTACAACCTCAAACCAGTTACGTGAGCTTTCTATGTTGCATCATTGGTGGAATCAGGATAATAACAGTCACTTTCCAGTCTATCTTAGAGCAATGCCTGGCACCTGGTATGCACACAAAAGTTAGCTGTTATTATTATGACTTCTAAGAACATTGAGAATTCCTTTGTCATGTGGCGAACTTTGGACAGCCTAGACAAAACTGTCTTGAAAGTTAGTAAAATTCGGAGCAATGAAGAAAACCAGGATGCTGGGTGATTCTTTTCCTCCCTGGACCTGTAGCTAATGTGAGAGGTACCCTCTAGTGTAATCTCCTCTTCCCAGTTTAACCTCCTCTTTCCAGTTTAACCAGCAGTAAGCCTGAGCTGCTTCTCCCTCTCCCTGCAGTACCAATATTGGAACACCAAGGCTCGGCGCAATGAGTTGACTGCCCTGGAGCTCTATGAGGGTACCGAGCAATACAATGCCACCGCCTTCAGCTCCTTGGACCGTCCCCAGCTGCCCCAGGTCCTCCAGCAGTCCTATATCTTCCCCTCCTCTATCAGTGCCATGGAAGCCACCATCACCGAGCGGGGCATCACCAGCCGACACCTGCTTAGTGAGTGTTGCGGGGAGGCCCCTGGGGTGACCAGGTTCCTTTAGGCAGCCTCACTGAAGGACAGCTGGGAGTACATTGCCAGCAGAACTCTCTGTTTGACCACCTGCAAATGAAGGCTGTGAGGAGAGCTCTATTTCAGCAGAAAAGAACTTACGGGCTTTTGTCAGTATTACTGGTGCTATTTGATGCTGCCTGGCTGTACTATCACAGCAGCACCCCCAGCCCGTGTCTGCTTCCTGGGAAGAAGATTAACCTGCTCTGGGAGGTGTTACTGGAGTGAAGGAAAGGGATGAGGAGATCCAAGTGACCTTCTACATTCTTTCATAGCTTGATTCTAGAACTTTATTTTCTGATGACTTAAGATGATATGTGAAGAAACCAGTATTATGGCAGTAATCCTAGCTACTCAGAAAGCAGAGATTGGGGCTGGCGGAGTGACTCAAGTGGTAAGAGTGGTAAGAGTGACCCTAAGTTCAAGCCCCAGTGCAGCCATAAATAAATAAATAAATAAATAAATAAATAAACAAACAGAAAGCAGAGATTTGGGAGGATAGTAGTTTGATACCAACCAGCAAAAAGTTTTATTTCAATCAATAAAAGCTGGGTGGTGTGGTGCATGCCTGTCGTCCCAGATGTTAAGGAAGCATACATAGGAGGATCATGTGCAGGCCGCCTGGGCGTAAGTGCAAGATCCTATTCGAGAAATACCTAAAGCAAAAAGGGCTGGGGGCATGGCTCATGTGGTAGCACAGGGCCCTGAATTCAAACTCCAGTGCCACCCAAAACAAACAAACAAACTGGACACCTTTATTCAGACCCATGCATATTATTGGAGTGCTGACTTTAACTATTTAAGGGAACCTCATTCTCTTGGGTTTCTTGTTTTAAATTTCTATGGTAATGGTATTTTGGTAACGGTACCTCATCTGGGATGGATTCATGTGAACACTTATTTGTTCCCCTTTAGTCGGGCTACCTTCTGGAGCAATTCTTTCCCTCCCCAAGGCCTTGCTGGATCCCCGGCGTCCTGAGATCCCAACAGAACAAAGCAGGTGAGAGGGGGCTTGGAAAAGTACACCTGGAAAAGTGACTTGAGTAAAGACCTAAAGGAAGTGAAGGAACTCACCACCATGTGGATATCTGAGGGAGGACTGCCCTCAGATATCAGAGGAAACAGGCAGCATCAGGGCCCTGAGATCATGTGTATTGAGCTCAGGGGTAACAGGCTTGCGTGGCAGAGCAGTGAGTGGCAGAGACAACAGGAAGGGAGGTTATGGAAGTCTAGGGGCCAAATTGTGGGGCAGCAGCTTGTTCCACTGGTCATGCAAATTAAATATGTCACATCCCTGCAAAAGTTTCATTACCTTCCGGGCTAAGGGTCCTTCACTTTTTAGGGTAGAGTCGAACGGACAAGTATGTTCGGCTCTAGGTGTACGTGGAAGGAGTAAGCCTTCATGTAGGGAACTGAAGGATAATGTGCGTTCGTTGTGGAGCACGTGACAGGAGAATTAGGGTGAAGCTGGGGAGAGAGGATAATGGGAGGAAATGTGGGTTTTTCTGTTGCCAGAGGCGATAGGCAGGACTTCAAAGGCTGCAATGCCTGAGTGTGTTGTGCTGTTTGGATATTACCTTTTTCCGTGTACCTTTATTCTATGCTTGAAGATGTAAGGTAGGTGTCAAATCTTTTTGTATGTTACAGGTCACGTTCCTATATCTTTCCACAATTTCCTAGTCCATTAGAACCTTTCAACGCTTTATGAGGACAAGTACCTCACCGCCATCTCACATTGGCTCATGTGGTGTTCTATTGTATTATAGCCTCTCTCGTACTAAACAAGTGGTATCCCATGCAGTCCTTCTGAATCTTGGTCAGTTGTTGTGATGTTAAGGTCTCCAAATGAAATTTTGCTGGCACTAATGCTGTAGTCACCATGGTTTGAAACACTAATTAATCGTGCTTATTAGGTTTTTTGTGCTTTGAAGTTGTAAGAGAACATTCCAAGTGAGGATTTTGAGAGGTTAGAATCATAGTAATTATGAGTTAGGTAGAATGGAAAGTGCGTCTTTCTTTCCAGCATTTGGCTCAGGAGCAAGGTACATAAGAAAGGGTCGAAATACCTGGACTTTTGGCTTCAGCTTTAAGAAAGGCTAGTTCTTTTTGATGGTGGGCTATACTTGAAATAGGGTAGACATATACTAGTCGATAATAGTCCTGTGTGCCGTATGCACTTAGTGAAATGCATGACAGTACCGATCTTCTCCTTTTATATGTCTTCAGCATTAGTACAAGAATTACTATTCCGCAGAGCGAAATTCATTCAATATAAGCTACTTATTTTACCTCACTCGAAAGTCTTACTAATCTTCGTTTACTATGCGTAGGACGTACTTAAGCAACTACACAGAACGTCTCATGGTACACACCTGAAGCTCTTATATATCTTTTTTGTTGGTGCTTTGAGTTACGTGGAGCTGTCCAGGTTGGAAGGAAACCGCGTTCACTACTTAGAATCTTTGAGATTCGTGTGCTGTATAACTGACTACCTCTTTTGCCAGCTACTTCATGGGATGTACTATGTTGACGATATAGGTGCATTTCTGCCTTTTAAATTATCTTATATCATGCTTATAGTTCACAGAATTGCTCCTTCGCAGTGATTATCGGCGGTGTTGCTCTGAGAGGTATGCTTCAAATTCCATCCGAAAAGTAAGTTTGGCATTTAATTTTTGCTATTTTCGAGTTTGTTGTGAATTGGCAGGTCGTGGCCTATGGTTTGGACATTTACCAAACTAGGGTCTACCCATCTAAGCAGTTTGATGTCCTCAAGGATGACTATGACTACGTGTTAATCAGCAGTGTCCTCTTTGGCTTGGTTTTTGCCACCATGATCACTAAGAGACTGGCACAAGTGAAACTCCTCAATCGAGCCTGGCGATAGACTAAAGACTCTGTGCCAGAGAGTGGAGAGCCATGGGGGAGTGGGTCAGCTAAGGGGCTCTGGTTTGGTGGATCAGTGAAATCTGTGTGATGGGGAAGAAAGGGAAAAAAACAAAAAGAGTTGGAAAGAAGATGGACCCTCATGTGGAATTGCTTTGGGAGTAGTGGATTTTCTCCTGAAGTCCAGGCTGCTGCTGTTTTCTTTCTTTGCCCATCCATGAAAGTTGTGGTTTTTGTTAAGACCTCTAACTGATTTTCTTTGTCTTTTGTAAAGCCTGTTTAAATAGATTTTTGTTTGCCTTCTGACTTTTTGCTCTGCCTTTTGTGTCATAGTCAGAGGGGAGCTCTTCTTGCCTTGATGGTGGAGGCAGAGGATACATCCTCTCCGAGGACGGAGGACTGAGGGATGATCCAGCCTCTCATGGCTTCTCTCCAAAGTAATAATAGATGTTGAGGAGTCTATGCATGTCAGAACTAATTTTAACTAAGCCTCTAGTTTTATACTCTCATTTATTATGTTGGGCCCCCCATATTTATTTCAGTTTATCATACCAAGTGCATAACAGCATCTTGATTTTAGTGGTTGCTGTCCTGTGCTTTCCTCCTGAGATATGTCAGAGCTGAGGCCTTTTGAAAACTACTGGATAGTCTGAACTCTGATGAGATTTCAAGGTAAGAGAGATAATCTGCCCCTTTCATGGTACCTCATAATCTCACATTTCACCCACAGGCTGGTCATCTTATAGTCTAGTTAGAGAAAGGTGTCTTTGTTGAAGAACCCTGTTATTTATTATTGTTATTATTTTGGTGCTGGGGATTGAACCCAGGGACTCTCACATGTTAAGCACGTGCTGTCACTAAGTTATACCTCCCCCAGCTAGTTTTAGCTATAAATTAATATTCAGGTCCTTGTATTTCTTTAAAAACAAGCAGGTTTTAAATCTTACTGATTAGCTTTGTGAGGTGCTAGAGATCAAACACAAGGCCTCACACATGTAGGCAAGTGCTGTACCGTGGAGTTACACCCCCAGCCCTAATTTAACCTTTGAAACTTAAACTTAAAATTTTTTTGGTGGTACTGGGGTTTGAACTCAGGGTCTCACACTTGCTAGGGTAGACAATCTACCACTTGAACTACTCTGCTGGCCTTTTTGTGTGTGTGTGTTGGGTATATTTCAAGATAGGGTCTTGAGAGTTATTTGTCCAGGCTGGCCTTGAACCGCTATCCTCCTGATCTCTGCCTCTCGAGTGGTGTGAGCCACTGGCCCCTGGCCTAACTTTTGAAACTTTGAACAAGAAAGAAGATAAAGGATGAGGGTAAGAATCCAGCATACCATAGATGTTATGTTGCTTATTGACTGGGCTACTGTCTCTCTGCTACAATTTAAAAGAATCTTAAGTCTTTTCTCTGGTTCTTGGGTTGGGGAATAATGGACTTTTTACTGTGAAGAATGCAACATGGAGGAGATCACCTCTGGCCCTGTGGTGAGAGTTACTCTCAAGCATTGGAATAAAGCTAATGATGAATGACTCTGATTCAAGTCCTTTCTTGTGTCTTAGGATGATCACTTTGAGGTTACTTTTGCATTAGAGTAGAGAAAAGCCATGCAGAAATGGAGTGAATGTATTTAGTAAAGAAACATGCCAACTTAATTGTATAAGAATTGGTTTAGGTTATTTAAAAACAGAATTTTTCATGTTTCTGTGGTAATATGCTGATGGTAGGTTATAGCAGAGAAGGAAGAAAAATGATAATCATTTTGCTTTAGTAATAAAATTGTCAAATTGACACTAGTAGGGGAATGAGTATCTAAGATCTCCAGAAAAAAAAAGACAGCCATCTGTTCATCCTAATTCAAGGCCTATTTTGTTTAAAGCAATCTGGGAGAAGGAAACAGTATAAATTAAAAAAAAAAAAAGTCCTACTTTTGAAGCAGCCTGGCTAGAATTATGACTGTCTTATATGAAGATTTGTATGTGACATCATCAGCTATTGTCTGGCTGCCAGTTCTGCTTGTGCAACCCAATTAGTCTGCAAGATCCTAGTTTTCATTGACCTATGTCCAGAATCTTATAGAACAAGGTAATGGGAGGGAAGGGCCCTGCCCTCTCCTAGATCCCCTGTATTTTGACTTTAATCACTCCCATTTTACCTCAGAATTATCTCAAAGCAAGTTTTTCTTTTTTCTTCTTAAACTCATGATCCTCCTGCCTCTTAAGCACTGGTACTACCGGCATGTGCCACCATGTCTGGTTTTGTAGCAGGTTCTTAAAATATGACTAATGCCTTAGTCAAAACCAAGTGTTTTCTTAGGTCTTGGCCTTTAATCGTAAAGTAGCATTTTCTTCTGACCAGCTACACCTAGCTTCCACCTGTGACATTAGAGACTGCTTCCTGTCAGTTCTCTGATCCAGTTCCTTTGTTGTCTTTTTCTGTACATATCCCTTGAGCTCTCTCCTCCCTTATCTTCCTTAACTAGGTCTATTTGGGGAGGCCCTATAATATTTCACTTAAAATGGGTGATACCTCAGTATTCTCTAGGCCAATTCTTAAAATTAGTTTGATCAATAATAGATTTAAACTTTTTTTTTTTTGAGACAAGGTCTTGCTTTATAGTCCAGGCCGCCTACAAACTCACAATCCTGCTTCCCTCTCTCAAGTGCTGGGATTACAGGCATGTACCATCACACTTGGTCAATCTATACTAGAGCTTTTGGTATAAAACTTTTCAGCTAAATAGTACTAGTGATCTCAGTCCCTGTTTGAAATAATTAAAGTGATTTGTAGTTTGTGTTCATTTTTTCTCCTCTGGTCTTTGACTTGAAATGGGAATCAATTACTGAGGGACACTCATGAATTAAATACAAAATTCCAGTTGTAACAGAAGATTCAGGGGAAGTAAGAACTTTTTAAAACCAAGACCTGAGATCTGTTTGTGTACCCATCCCTTTATTTGTATTTAGTCATTAGATTTTGTATTTTACTTCCTCACTTTTTTGTTTTTACAGTATTGGGGTTTGAATTCAGGGCCTGCCTATACCTTGGGCCACTCCACCAGTCCTTTTTGTATATGTATGATTTTTTTTTCTTTTAGGCAGCACTGGGGTTTGAACTCAAGGCTTCATGCTTAAACTACTTGAGCCACTCTACCAGCCCCCGCCCTTCCCCCTTTGTTTTCTTTTCTTTCTTTCTTTTTTTTTGTGATGAGTTTTTTCAAGATAGGGTCTCAAGAACTATCTGCCCAGACTGGCTTTGGACTGTGATCCTTCTGATCTCTGTCTCCTGAGTAGTTAGGATCACAGGCATGAGCCACCAGCACCAGCTCTCCTAACGTTTTTATTAGTATATAAATAGTTGTAAAAGGGGATATGTTGTGATGTTTACATATGTGCTTACAATGTATCTTAGTTAGATTTACCCTCTCCATTGTTCTCCTCCATATCCCTTTAATTGGAAGAGGATGATACCTGTTCTCTATCTGCCACCCCAGCAAAGAAAGCTGAGCAAACTTACAGGCAGATTGTACAGTTTTATTGCCAAAAGTGAGGGTGGCACTGAAAATAATTGACCCTGCAACTCAATAACTACCAAAACAAGTTACAGAGTTAACTTTCTGAAACCCTGTAGTTTTTATTAGCATTCTTCCAATATCTATCGTGCTTAGAGTCCACAATTTGTCAGTACTGGGCTTTGAACTTAGGGCCTCATGCTTGCTAGGCAGGCACTGTACCACTTGAGCCATTCCACCAACCCTTTTTTTGTCACTCTTAAAAATCCTTTTATTTTCTTGATTATAAATAGAATGTGCTTATTGTAGAAAAGTTTAAAATATACAAGTTAATTTGGACTATTACTAACATTACTATTATTAATTGTTAGTATTAATTACCACTTAAGCCACTCCACCAGCCCTTTTTTGTGATGGGTTTTTTCAAGATAGGGTCTCACAAACTATTTGCCTTGGGCTGTCTTTGTGTGATCCTCCTGATCTCTGCCTCCTAAGTAGCTAGGATTATAGGCGTGAGCCACCTGTGCCCAACTAATTTTTTTCTCTTTATTTTGACACAATTTCATACTTAAACTTGCAAGAATAGTGCTAAGAACTCCCAGATATCGTCCACAGATTCCCCAAATGCTACTGTTTTACCATATTTCATTCTTCTCTTCTTGTCCCTCTCTCACTTTAGTGGGTCAAAATCTTCCTAAGACAATATCCTAAAAGATGGTAGTAGCAGAACTGAAGAATTTTAAAAAGTAATGTTTTATAAAACTCTTCAGAAGCTATGTTTGATTTTAAGTAAGTTATTGCAGCTGACTTAATATATATAAACTTCATCTTACAGAAATTTGTGTTAAGCACTTATTAATTCACATTGGTTACTAATGCAGACCATTGCAAATTTCAATGTTTGCCTTGTAGTACTGACTTTATTTACTTACTTATATTTAATAAGTACTGGGGTTTGAACTCGGGTCTTTCTTGTACTTGCTAGACAAGCACACTACCATTTGAGCCATACCCCCAGTCCTTATTTTTGGTCTCAAAAAACCAAGCCAAGTAGCTGGGCATTGGTTCCTGCTTATAATCCTAGTTACTTGGGAGGATCTTGGTTTGAGTCCAGCCCAGGCAAATAGTTTGCAAGACTCCATCTCCAAAATAATCAGAATAAAATGGACTAGAGGCGTGGTTCAAGTGGTAGAGCACCTACTTTGCAAGCGTGAAACCTTGAGTGCAAACCCCAACTCCCCCCAAAAAAAATCAAAACAAAACAAAACAAACAAAAAAAAATCCCAAAGAAACTATGTTGCTCAGGCTAGCCTCTAACTCTCGATCCTCCTTCCCCCACCCCCCGCCCTGCGTGCTGAGATTATAGGTGTGCACCACCATGCCCAGTTTGTTGTATTGATTTTAATCATTTACATCCTGCTCTTCTTTCCTTCTTTGGTTTTCAGTAAGTATTATTTCCTGAAATTTTGTTAAATTGGCAATCTTTTTTAGTCCCTGCACAGTTGTTAAAGTTTCTTTTTTTTGTGTGTATGTGGTACTGTGGTTTAAACACCTATACCTTGAGACACTCCATCAGCCCTTTGTGTGTGTGTGTGTGTGTGTGTGTGTGTGTGTGTGTGAGAGAGAGAGAGAGAGAGAGAGAGAGAGAGA